CTTGACGAAATACACCCCAGGGCAACCTTCGTAAAAGATATACGCAGCCGGTCCAAGGGCATACGAATATTGCATGTGGATGAGCTCACACGCATGTTCGCTCACAATGTTTGCAAGCAAGGACATCTCACTGTCATACTCAGGATGGTGCACGACCACAGTTTTGTAGATCTCCGAGAGAAACAGTTTTTCCTGCAGAGTTTCGTAGTACATTATGGACGCAATGCATTCGTCCACTGCCATGAAGGAGTCCACCCATTCCTTGAGTTGTTTCCACGAAGCTTCCAGCCGATTGTTCGTATTGTTACCAAGTGTGACAGTATTCTGACGTTTATACGCACACCACTGTCCACGACAACTATCCCAATTCCTCCGAAAGTACGCAACAAATGGGTGCTCAACGTCCGATGCCGACGCACTCCCGACTGTAGACCCGACAGCACCCGACTCACTCTCGACTCCACCCGACTCACTCCCGACTACGGAAGCTCTACTACGTTCCACCGCTGGCTGAGCGTCGCTTGACGCCACGTTAGTAGACGTTGCAGCAGAGAACCCAATCGAAGCAAGGTGGACCATATACTTGAAGTGCTTCTCGTATTCCGCATCCGTCTTCGCATACAAAAGCAAGCTCACCACCCCTCCAAGCTGCTCCTTCTGGGTCTTGTAGAATCCATAATCCGCAGATGCAATTTCTTCGCGCAGATACTTCAACACATGGAACTGACATAGCAGCACAGTCACACCAGTAAAAGCTTCGTTCAAGACAGAGAGCTCCGTAAAATCTTTGTCCACCGGTACACATTTTAGCCTCGACCACGCCGGATTGTTTGACTTGAATTCTTCCAGGGCCGTGAGCAACGTAGCGTACTGCTCATTCTGAAGAAGCGCGTGTTGGATAAACTGTCCCTTGCCAAAGGTATCATGAGCCATAAAAGAAAATACTTTGTACTTGGATCGATTGGTTCCATGCGTGGCATCTATCAGTAGAACTTCAGGAAACTGTTCGTACAGCAATCGCATATGTCTGGTCTGGAGCGTGATACACGTAGCTACTTTCTAGAGAATAACAACAGGTTAACTAAATATATTTTGTCCAAAATTGTAGCAAACAGGTCATTTACCTTCTTGTTGATAACGTCAAGAAATATTCGACCAACATTACCGGGTTTGTCGCCGAACTCCTTGATTTATTTTTTCAGGCGCTTCTCGCTTGAGGATGGACCATCTTTTATCTCTCGCGCTTTCAGTTTGCGAACCAAGTTGTGTACGTCTTGCGAGTTCGGATTGCTATTATACTTTTCTGTGATGAAACTCAAAATACCGGTCTTCTTGGCCCCATACCGACGGAGCACGTCAACTGTTTGTATGGCGCCATCAGTCAGCGCTACCCGCTTGGAAGAGTGGGCTCTGAAAGAGTTTTCATGTAGCCGATGGTTATGCTCCAGCCGACAGCGTGTGATTCTTACTGCAAATGTCTGGTTGGCCGAGTCAACTAACTGCACACAAGCATTTATCTACGTAGCATGATTACCCGATTAGCATCAGATTACACCCGACTAGACCCGCCCAACAATACTTGCCTTTGCCTGGCAACCCTTCGCTCGAGTCTCTTGACGTGGTTTCTTCGAGGCTTGAGACTTATGGGATCCAGCGTGAGTGCAGATGAATGTCCTGGAATACTGCACCCAAGACTCAGGGATTGGTAGTGCCTTTGAATGCTGTTTTCGAATTCGCTCGTTGCGCTCAGACACTGTGGTGTTACTGCGGCTTCGGAAGACCTATCGTTGATACACAAACAAAATTGGTAAGCACCTAACGAGAAAGATACAATGATCTCAACGTTCTCATCGTTACCTGATATGTTTGGGCTGAATAGGCCGCCAAGTACTGGTCAAAGGCTTCCCACGACGAAAACTCAACCTTGTTTGGCGATGCGGCCAACACACGACTGGGCCCACCACTTTCGCTTGTGCTGCTAGTAGACTCCGGAACGTCTGAAACACTCCGAGCCCCCGACGAGCCGTCTTCCACCGAATCAGCACTACTTGCGGCGGGCGTTGGCAACCAGATGTCGTCCTGGGAGTCCTGAGATCTCTCAGACTCACCACTGTCGCTCTCTTCCAACGCAGCGGCCCCCGTCAGCGGCCGCTTATGGGCTGCGCGCAGGCGGAGATCCATTCAGCCCCGTACGGCTCCCGCTCCCCCCTTTCGAAGTTTTGTGGCTGGCAGCGCACTGATTCCAACGGGTATACGCAATATACGCCGTACGGATGTAGCTCATCGGAAAGGAGCCGGGGATTGTGCAGGGGAAGGTTAATTCAGTCGGGCGAAATACTCACTGTCTTGCAAGATACGCAGCGCGAATTGCTAGCCCCGAAGCGCAAAAAAAGCACTGTCTTTACCGGAAGATGCAGCCATCTAACCCCCAGGCAAAGTCTGTTGAGCTGACGCCTAAAACTGACCTGCCAACGCTGCAATACCGCTGGAAGCTACTGACAACAGACGGCTTACGGCAGCTCGGCGATTTTCGATTTGAAGCCTTCTTGTACGTTCAGCGCGCCGCTCAGCCAGAACAATTCCGCATCGCTACGGCTCGTCGGATTGAGCAGACACGATTGCAGTGAATGGCTTATGGGACGGCTAATGCGGTGCAGCTTGGTGCAGCTACAGCTCCGCACCTCGACGTTGTACATGCTATAAGACTAGAATCATCTCCGTTTAAAGTTCCGGTCGATAATTTCACCGCACAGGCAATGGAACTGGTTCGCTAGCGAGAGATGCTGCAGCAGCAGGAGATTGATGGTCAAGAAGCACCAGAAACAGCATTCGTCAAGATTAGGCTGGGCGGTCTGTGGGCACCAATGGAGGTGGATATACTGTCTCTTCGCCGAGCGATACGCTTACCCGACCACGATATATTTTCTCGTGGAATTTACCACGATCTCACGCCGGCACAACCAACAACGGCGAGATGAACGATGAAGATAACGCAGAGGATGAGCTGATGTGATTATTGCTAGCATCATAATGCATTCAACCGATAGATTTACTCAATACCCCCCCCCTATTATAGTTTGTATCAGCTTATCAAAGTTTGCTGTCGTATTCCAGTAGCGTGGTGAAAGGTGCCGAAACATTCTTTATCCTCGCGCCGCGTACACGCTCGTATAGCGACTTCCAAAATTTGGTCTGGATTCAAACAAAATGCTACGTTGGGATGCTTCTGCAACCAACGTTTTAGGAGCTCGAATCACGGCTGTATCGGACACAATTGTGGGCAGTATGGCGGTAGGAAAATTAGACGAGCTCCGCATTGATGAGTTGCTTCTTGCAATCTGGATATGCATGTGTTTTGGCATTGTCCATAATGACAATGGAACGCGGAAGCGGCCACGGATTAAGTCGAGGGATAATATTCTTAACAAATGCAGCATGCAATTTCTCTCTTGTAATCGTCCCCCTTAAGTGCCGCCAAATTATAAGTTTTTTGCCTCGGCGAAATGGAAGCTTGACTACCGCACGATGTTCCAATTGGACCAACCGTTTCGGCGCTCAGCGTGGCGCCATCTTTTGCTGTTTCGCCCAGGAAAATGAGCTGCTCAGCAAATGAGAAAATAGAAAGGAACATAGCGGTAAACTTCAATTCCAGCAGTCTTAGGAGCTGCCTTGGACAGCACCTTTCGACTAAAATTGAGGTCAAAAGTTCAGAACTCTGCAAATTGTAGCTGTTGAAACGATTGCAGCTGTTGGGTAGCTCTTGATCACAAGTTTACGAAGCTCTTCAATGTAGAACGTCGTGTGCTTCAACGTAACCTTCTATAGCTGCTAAAACCAGAGGGGGCCAGCGCGTGTAGATTGATTCTCACTGACAATCCCCATGTCTAGGAATAGAGCGTACCATCGGCAAAGTGTTCGCTGCTTCGGCCTCAACAACTCGGATACGAACACGCAAGAGACGTCGTAGACATGCATGATAGCTACGTCTCGCAACCGGAAGTCGTCGTCGTAGGTCATAGTGGTGCTAAATGCTGACTGAAACTGAATACTTAACTTGATGCTGGATGGACACATGCCACTCAGTTTTACCGCCGGAAATCGGCAATTGTGGCGGTCGCGTTGCTTAAAAGAGCTGCGTTTACTGTACAATCCTTATCTGTGTATCATTTCGAACTTAACATGTTTTATATTGAGGCCCTATGCTTAATCGGGGCCTGGACACAATTATACGACCTCGTCGAGTGATCATAACTCAGTCAATTTTTATTATTTGACGGTGCGATTTTCACCACAAGTTGCAAAACATGCTGCTAACGCTCGCGTTTTTTGTACATGTAGGGAGGCTCGCATACAAAAGAGATTTTGTCAAGGTGGTCACAATTTACGGCCACCATTGGCCCAAAACAAAAATTATTAACACGTAATACAGTACACCAGCTCGTGGACATTTTACAACAGTTAGATGCACCCACGGGCTCACCTACTCAGGCTGAATTCCAGCATTCTTATCTTGACTGAATTAAATGGCAAGCCACAGTCGTTTCAGATCCCCGCCACCTATAATCCAAACGGATAACGGTCTGTATTGTGCGATAACTGCTTAGTCGGGTGTCTAGCATACATGTACTCCTGCCATTGCCCTTCACTGCTTGTCGCCGCTTCTGGACGTTGTCTTGCCCTGTTCATGGCACTGGCGGAACTTCTTCCACTCCTGTCGCATCGAATGTTAGTCATCCTGCCTTAAGTCGTATCTGCCGCTACTAGCCTTACCTCGGTGCAGGCCGAGACGCGGCCGTTGTTGAGTTTCATGCAGGCTGGCACCGACATGCGTCAGTCGGAGAATGACTGCCGAGAAACGAAGCAACCGAAATTCAACGGTCACAACTCACCGTCGACGCGCAGGTAGCTCTCCTCGCAGCCCGTATTCTCCACGGCACTTTGGTGGTGCGTGTCGTCGCCCGGTTTGCAGGTTAAGCATTCCTTATTCGGCATGGTCAAGCAAAGCGGCCTGCAACTACGCTGTACCTGTACTGTAGTCGGTTGTCTTTTTCATCCAATCGTACTTCGGTTTTATTCACGACGTGCGACTTTTTTCCGCGACGGTAAGAGGCAGTCAAGTAACTTGATTTTTGTAAGTCAATCGCAACGTTCCGCCCCACGAGGTTGTCTCCGTCACATCGATTTTACCAGTGCAGAGCGGTGTGGAAGCTATGGCGCAGTTGCACGACGACGACGTCGAATGGCTCGATAGCGAGCTGGAAGACAGCCCGAGGTCCAACGACGACATCAGCAGCATGTTCAGCAGTAGCCCCAATGCTAAGGCCGGCGGTAGCGTGCGCTGGCCCCAAGATAACCAGCCGATGCAGCGCCCCGCCGCCGTGTCGTACGCCGGATCTGAAGCCGTTGAGGACGTCGAAGGTGACATGACCTCATTTTACGGTCAGCAGTTTGCGCCAAAACCCGAGGCTTCCAACTACCGTCTTCCAGCTAAATCCGTGGGCCAGCAGCGCTTCCAGGACATGCCCATCTGCCTTGTGGCCGACAACGGCGTGGCCGCGAAGCGTATTCTCATTCGTCGTATCCACCAGGAATCCATGACGCAGCTAGCCATGAGCTGTCAAGCCGTGTTGGTGCGCGGTGCCTCGGGCAACTACTACGTTTACCACCTGGAGATCACCAGCGACTACTACAAACAGAAGTGGGTTGTGTGCAAGCGCTACTCCGAATTCTATCGCCTGCGCAAGAGGCTCCTCGCGCGTCTCGCGGCACACAAGAAACAACGTGGGTGCTCCGTGTGTGGCGCGGTGCGCGACCAGCTCAAAGACGTCGGTTTTCCACGTCGAGTCGTCATGTTTAAAGACCCCTCGTCGCTCGTGGGCAAACGAACCGCCGGACTCGAAGAGTTCATCGTTGCTCTCTGTGAGTACCTCGCTGCCGAACAGGAGGTGGAAGTGTGCAATGAGATCGCAGCCACGCGTTTTTTGGCTAAGGAGTTTCTGCAGTTTCCTCTCGAGCACGAGAATCAGCACGTCCGCTCTATCCGCCAGCTCAAGTATGTTGACCCACGCGATGTTGAAGTGGATTCGGATTCGTGCCCTATCTGTCTATGCGAATGGGCTGAGCTGGACGGTAACCAGCTCGTGCTCTCACCATGTGGACACTTTTTCCACGAGCACTGCATCAACGAGTGGTACCGGACCCGCTTCGATTGCCCAATTTGCCGTACGATCTCGGGCGCAGAAGAGAGCAACAACTGCAATTACTAGTGAAGTATCCAATGGGACATCTTAAACTTTGGGAAGGCGAGGCGAAGCGAGGCGAGGCAACCACAAATATATAGTTATGCTTGAAGTGATGTTGATTCCCATGTTATCTCCCTGCTCTAATCCGTGTGGGCCTACGACTCTGGCGAAGCACCAGGGGAAAACCGATAAACGTTGAAGCCACTGTCCGAGAACTCATGAAGATCGTCACCGTCCTTGCCGATGATGACGATGCGCTTTTCGGGCGAGAATTCACCGAAATACTTGTTCGCGACATCGACAAGATCCTGGCGGTTCAACGAGAGATACTGCTCACGCCTGCGCTGACTCATGTCGTTTGTGATGCCGCGCAGGAAGCTCATACGGCCTTTCATCGACGGAGTCTTGGGCGCGTCAACGCTCGCGAAAACTGACAGCAGCGCTTCCTGCACGTCACGGTCTGAGAACTCGCCGCTGACAGCCCATCGACGGGCGCCAGCATACGCGTCCAGCGTCTTAAACGTGTTCGGATCGTAGTGCGAGCTCATCGAAAAGGAGCCCTCGTTCTGAGAGACGCCAGATCCGTACGCCCCGCCCTGCTCACGCACTTGCTGGTGCAGGTAACACGACGACATAATTTGCGCCAATACCGTAAGCGGCACGTGATCTTCGTGTGCAAATGACACAGACGGCTGCGTCTCCACAACAAAATTCACGGACACTGGGAAGGCAAAGTAGTTTTTGGGTGACACGATCGGAAACTTCAGCTCTTCCTGTGACAACGTGAGCGAAGCGAGATCTGGTAGCGACGAGGACGCAGCCAAAGGCTGAAGCAGCTTTGACTTGAGCGATTGCTCCACTTGAGAGCGCAACTTGTCCTCTGTCACAACAGAAATACGCATATTCTCGGGTGAGAACACCACGCGCGCGATATCCTGCAGTACGTGGGCGATCCGACGCAGCTCTTCATCAGAGCACTGCGCCCACTTCTGAAGTTGCTCGATCTGACTAAGACCACTGTACAACTCGTCGTACACACCTGCAGGGGTGAGACCAACACGCGAACGTGTGCCAGCGAGAGCAGCACCAGATGAAGAAATGCTGCTACTAGCAGTGGAAGCGCTACTCTGCAGAATAAGACGCAGTTGACGCAAATTCTCGTCGCTCAAGAACTGCGTGTCCGTGAGCAGCTCGTGCATCAGACTGAACGTTTCGCCCACCTTGTGAGGGAGGCACATCGTACCGAGCAGAAGAGATTGGGTGCAGGGTTCGCCGTGGGCATCTGTAAGCGAAGGTGCCGTCATTGCTGAGCACGATACACCGCCACTGCAGTTTGCAATGACCGTGGGGAGTTCGTCATAAGCAAGGCGAGAAGTGCCCAGAGATCCAAAAACCGTAGTAAATACGTTCATGAATCGGTGGTATTCTTGAGGCAGTGCTCCCACGTCAAAGAGAAAACGTAAGTACGAAATCTCGTTCGTGGATGGCACGCGAACGAACTCGGCGGACGTTGAGTTGAGCTCTGTCCTCTCAATGTGGTCAAAATTGCCTTCCTCCACACGTGGAATATCATCCAGCGTCAAGGTGGGCAAGCACTCTACCGGTTCTTCCTTTTGCTGATGACGCTCAAGCTGCTCAGTGGTTCGGGCGATGCGGTCCAAATCAGCGTTGGACTGCTCAAGAAGCTTGGTGGCTAGATTTTCATGCTCGCACCGCTCCTGGTTGCGGACGAAATCCTCAGAAGGCAGCATAAGCATCTGTACCTCGTGCAGATCATCCCGCATGAGGTAATCGCGCACGTAACCCTCTAGGAACTTCGGATCACATGCCATTTCGTCATTCAAGCGTTCCAACAGCGGGTTCAGCTGTAGATTTTTGATGAGGTCGCCACCGTGAGCCCAGACAGAGCTGATGCCGTGCATGAGTTGCAATCCAAAGTTGCCTGTCACGTGCTTGAGACTCAACTCCAACTGGTGCAGAATTCCGGTCACTCGTTCTTTGTCAAAGCCCTCAGCCACAACCTTTTCCAATGCATCATGAACTGCCACGCGAATAGCCGGCACCGCCGCCTCTCCGCCTTCAATACCTTCTACACCAACTCCAAAGGTGGGGTAATACGTGGATGTGTCGAAGCCTGTTCCAACCGAAAAGTCCTGGGCAAGACTCGAGTCGATCAGTGCCTTAAACAGCGGAGACGCAGGTCCATTCGTGAGAAGATAGCCCACAATTCGCAGCACGAAGGTCGGAAAGGGGTCTGTAGACTTCACGTCCACAAATTTACTCATGCAATACTTGATGTTGGGATCCGCTGCCTCTCCACTCATATTACTGCTAGGACCCTTGATAACGATCAATTCCGGGTCATTTGAGCTCTTCTTGTGCATACTGAAATTTTCGGTACACACGCGAACAGCGGCAGAATCGGCGCGATATTCGAATTTGTTAAGAACCTCCTTATCCAGATAAGCCAGGTGGTCCGTGAGAGGCAAGTCGCCGTATGAGTAGAAGCAGCAGTTCGACGGGTGGTAATTTCTTACGTGGAAGGCGCGTAGATCTCCGTAAGTAAGAGACGGAATATCCTTAGGGTCACCGCCACTCACGTGTTCGTAGATGGTGCCTCGCATGAGTTCCTGCTGCAACCTTGTGCCAAAGAGATTGTTGCTGTCCGAGAGCACGCCCTTCATCTCATTAAGCACCACTCCCTTGTACACGAGTTCACCTTTTTCCTCGCTAATCTCGAGTCGGTGGCCCTCCTGCAAAAAGTCCAGCTTACTCAAATGGGGGAAGAAGACCGCGTCCAGGTACACGCTCATGAGGTTGTGCCAGTCCTTCGCGTTGGTCGTAGAAAACGGGTACATGGTGTGGTCTGCGCCCGTGAGCGCGTTCATGTACGTGTTAAGACTGCGCTTGATCATGTTGAAGAACGGGTCGCGCACTGGGAAGCGCTTGGAGCCGCACAGTGCTGTATGTTCCAGAATGTGCGCCACACCTGTCGAGTTACTTGGCGGCGTGCGAAACATGACAGCGAATACATTGTTGGGGTCCTTTGCGTCCAGATGGAGGTAATTGGCCTGTGTGGGCTCATGCCGTAGCTCCAGCGCGTCTACGTTGTACTCAGGCACGGTGGCCACTCGCTCCAGCGTAAAGTTGTGATAGGTCTCACCCACGTGCAGAGACTTGCAACCATCTCCACGTTGTAACACTGGAGCGGACGAAAAATCCGCGTCTACCCAACATAACGAAGACGTTTGGTAGTGCACTTGCACCGACGCAGGCGACTCCGCGAGCACGTGACGAAGCATCCGAAAGGTGAGGCTCACAAATTTAACAAATTGATTGAGCAAAAAAAGTGTTGCGTACACCAGTTTGAAAAAACTTTGCTTGCGGCTTCGTATGTGAACCACATAATATGTGGCTCACATATAAGTATCATTTAGTTTTGGGTTGTCTCATATTATGAGACAACCCAAAACTAAATGATACTTATGAACCTAAGTACGAATCGCGATTTAAGCACTCTAACTATCTTTTGAGCCCTTATAAGCTGCAGAATGCCTAAAACTGAAGAAGTTGTGATCGCTCAAAAATATTATCTTCATTTATGGGCCCTCGAAACGAAGATACATTTAGGAGTGTTGTGAGCTCAATATTTTTTCAATTTTAGAGATTTAAGTTTTATTTAAAAGCTCTTGTTAAAAGCAATTGAATAAGGGTAGTTTTACAGTTTTTCGCTGGAAGTTTACAATAAATTTCACTGTTTCGGTTAAGTGCGAAAATCAAATGGCCAACTTTAAGCTCGATTATCTCGATAACTCTAAATGATTCGTAAGTATCATTTTGTTTGACGTTGTCTCAACAGATATTATCTGTGTAGCTCATTAGAATGATTCGTCGAGTACAGAAATCTCTCTCACTTCCGGTACCGTGATCCGACCCTATCTTACAATTTGAAATACTGTTTAAGAAGTTTCTACGTGTTCATGTACCTACAAGCTCAACTGCGAAGCGCGGACTATGATGTCTGGGGGGCCATCTTGAGAATGTCGGAAATAGTCGTTTGTGCAGGCGGCCGCTTTAACCGGTAGGTGATCTTTGGCCACTCAGTTTACAATTTACCTTATTTAGGTCACTTCGCTCTCTTTTGAATAAAGAGGGGACCTGTGAACTGCCGTTCACTGAGAGTTTGTATACTCTGGCGCAAGTGCTGTGTGACCCCGTCACAGGCGGCATATATTTATAGGTAGATAAAGTTTGGGTTTAATACAAACTATAAGTCACCTATAGAAATGCAACGTCGTTGACCATTGGTTGGCTTTGAACGACCTTGGTACTTTGTACCAAATATCCCGAAGTATGACGTGTCATACTCCTGAAGTGTGAAGTGTCACACTTCATGTAACCAGGGTACACTTAGGGCTACGTATTCCGTTACATCCTCCCTCACTTAGGTTCGGCTTACCGACCAATCAGAATGAAGAGGTGTTCGTCACAAACTCTCATTCTCAAAGTCGAAAACCATCGACTTGGCCGCGCGAGCGCGGCGGAGGCTCACTTCATAGTTATAGCCTCGAGCAGCAGTCTGTGCGCTCTTCTTCTGGGTCTCTACTTCGACCGTTAATCATGCCTCGTGGCACTGCTAAGATCGGTGCTAAGACACGCTCTAAGGCTGCTGCCGGTAAGGCGCAAGTCAAGAGCACTAAGCCTCACAGCAAAGGCTCGGCACTCAAGGAGGCTACTCAGGTGGCCTCCGAGGCGATCGATTCCTCGGCTGACGCGGCTGTGGGCAAGCGAGCAAGCAAGCGCCGCAGTCACCTTCGGCCTCAGACAATCGTCCGAGCCCTCGGTTCGCTGAACGTGAGCTCGACTCTGGCAGTGAGGACGAAGCCGAATCCGAGAGCACGCACGATGCTCCTGCGGGCTCTGCGGGAGGGAACAGCCCAATGCCCAGCGAGTACAAGGACGACAGCGTGCAGTGGCTCGCTAGTGATCAAGGTGATCATAGTCCCAGGACTTCTGTGCGCTCTGAGAGTCCGGCCGTCAAGGCTAAGGGCACTCATAAAGCTGGTGGCGATGAGGAAGAGAATCCTCGCAAACGTCTCTCGCTTGCCGAGGGTCTTGCGCGTGCTAAGGCCTCTAAAGCCGAAGGCGCCAAGCCCTCAAAGAAGCGTACAGCCTCTAAGTCTCCACTCCGCGAGGAGAAGGAGACTCAACACCCCTATCAGAGTATCTTCGACTCCTCGGATGAAGAGGAGGAAAAGGAGGAAGAAGAAGAGGAGGAGGGTGCTATCGCTGAGCCCCGGGAGGTCTCGAATGACCTCGACCAGCAGCAGGAGGAATTCCAAGCTGCCCAGCGTGTGCGTGGGGGTTCGGTGGTGGCACCCGTCAGCCAGGGAGCTGCCATCGACTCAAGAGGGTATTGGCCTCCCGAGGAGAGCTCTGGGGCTGACCTCTTCTTAGAGCTTCTCGTCGCTCCTCGTGGCCTTGTGGGCGGTCACACTTCTAGGGGCATCTACGAGCGTGCCCTTGTTCAGAAAGAACAATTGTTCGTTGACAACTTGGAGGCTGCTCGGTGTGTGCTTCTCGCGTCACACCGCATCCCCCTTAAGGACTTCACGACTTGTCGTAAGAAGCCCGAGACCCGGGGTGGTCTCTATCCTCTTTGGGGATACCCCTGGGTTATGCCCGAGAACTGTCCCACGTGGAGTTCTTGTGAGGACATGTTCTGGGCATGGGTGGAGTCTCTTAAGTACTCACCCACGGAGTTACGGGAACTCCATGAAGATCAGCTGCTGTCCCGCATCCTGGACCAGCGTGATCTTCGTGTGCGGTTTGCTCACTTGATCAGCAAGCGCATGCTGCCAAGGAACATTCTGAAGCGCGCGGCTTCTAGCGCTCAAGATAAGCGCGGGTACGGAATGTATTCATCGTCCGTACCCCGTTCGGGCAAGAAGCCCCGGACTACTTATGAAGCTGCCGCCGCTTCTGTTCCCAGATTGCGACATCCTTCGGGCAGTCAATCAGGAGCCGTTTAATCGGCTCCCACGAGTTCTCGGAGTGGGCATAACCCCTCCACTTCACGAGGAGCTGTCGCTTACCGCGACGCCGTTGCTCCTGGAGGATCCGCCCCACGTGGAAGTGGACTTCTCTATTCCGGTCAAGCAGGGGCGAGGTGCCCTCGTACGAGTACGAGTACTCGGCGCCCTTTTGAACGCCACTCTCGTCCGAGTGCTTCTCCTGCGGGTCCGACACAGGGCACTGAGGTTGGCCTCCGTCAACGTGTCCTCGTGCTTGAGATTGCACTTGGCCATGGGACTGGCGGTGATGCTGCCGCCAGGCCGGATATCAGTGCGAGCTCGCTCGTCTTGCGGGCATCCTGGACCTGTTGGAGCGAGAGGCCGCGAGCCTGCACCTGCGGGTGGATCGCCGGGCCTCTTCGTCTGATCTGGACGAGGCCTTTCGCATGATCCGACGGATCGAGGCTCTGCTGCCACGTCCGGAGCCGCCTGCGGCGCACTCCTAGACGTAAACGTATGGTGCGTACCCGGCGTACTCAGCGTACTCGGCGTATGGCGCCGGGGTCCGTTCGTACGGAGCCCCTCCGGCGTACGGTCTTGACCGCAGCCTTGCCGTTCCGACCGAGGCTTGGGTGCCTGCTCCGACGCCCTCGTCGACGTCTGTGACCAACCCTCGCTTCGAGGAGCTGGGTCAAGGTGGGTCTGCGAGTCAGCAACCCCCTGCGGATCAAAGTAGCCCTTAAGACGTCCAACGTAGAACGTCGGGTGCGTCGTCATTGACTTTGGCAGGTCAATGGTGTACGACGCAATATGTCTGGCCAGGACTGCAAATGGTCCGATGAAGCAGTGCTTCAGCTTGTTGCTGCCGACAGAGCTGACAGTGTCAAGAGGTAGGTTCCTCGTGTCTAGCAACACTAAGTCCCCTACCTTAAATATACTTAAGTTTCCTCTTCCATGTTTGTCGGAGTACTCCTTTTGTTTATCTTGGGCCGCTGCCATGGCATCGCGGACCCTGCTGACAACTCTCAGCTTGGTATCCATAAAGGATTCCGCTTGTTTCCGCAGCGAAACTAATCTCACATCCGAGACCTAGGAGGAAAGGGCTTTCCGAGCCTCTCCCCCACTTAGAATAGAGGTTTCAGTGTCTCCTCGAAGAGTGAGAGGCACTCTGGGGTGACGGAAGCCGTTCAAGTAGAACGGCGTGAACCCCGTGGACGTGTGCACCGCGTTGTTGAGCGCAAACTCAACAACTGGAACCTGCGTCGACCACGTACGTGGTGCTGCCGCGCACACACTGCGCAGAGTGTCCTCGAGCACTCGATTGACGCGCTCTGTTTGGCCGTCTGTCTGCGGATGGTCCGCAGTGAACAACCTTGCGGTTTGTTCGCACGTAACAGTGACGGGAGCTGGAGCAAGATGTACCATCTTGCTCAGCCGACACACACACACCAAATTCCGGTGTTGCCGTGTCCGTCGGCGGGAAGCCCAAAGATGAAGTCAAGACTCATCGACTTCCAACAGTCAGCCGGTACGGGCAGGCTCTGGAGTGGAGCCGAAGAGTGCCCTGCGGGTTTGACCCGCTGGCATATTTCGCATGTCGTAACGTACCGGGCGACCCACTTGTACATGTGGGTTCACCAGAAGGACTGGGAGACCGACAGAAAGGTCTTCTCGCGGCCCAAGTGGCCGTTAAAGGGCGCGTCGTGCGCCTCCGCGTGGATATCGAACTTCAGATCCTCTTCGTTGGGTACGACCACCCGTGGAGGTGCATTGGTCTCCACCCGGTAATAGAGGAGGACATCCTTCAACTCATATCGGTGGAGCCGTGAGCGCTGTTGCGACGAGAGCCAGTCGGACTTCGCGCTCGTTCCTGCCATCAGGAACCTGACGATAGGCGCGACAGCCTCATCGTCCCGATACGCCATGCGTATCCGATCATATAGATCCGTTGTCACCCGCGTGATGTGGTCCAACTCATAGTCAGGACGCCGAGAGAGGGCGTCCGCAAGCACGTGGAGCTTGCCCGGCTTGTATTTGACGCAGAAGTTGTATTCCGCGAAGAAGGACAGCCACCTCGCCATCCTTGGGGAGAGGTGAGGCGATTTAGTCGCCGCCCTCAAGGACGCGTGGTCTGTGTAGATCACGAAGGGCCTAGAGCCCAGACGGTGAACACAAAAAATTCACAAGGGCATATTTTATTGCCAGGAGCTCCTTGTCGTGGACAGGGTAGTTCCGCTCGGCGGCTTTGAGCTGCCTGGACTGGAGCGAGATGACTCGTTCGTGTCCAG